CCTTAAGGAAGCAGAAAAAGAATATCAAACTAAATTCAAAACTAGCAGAAGGAAGAAAGATATTAGATCAGAGATAAAATAGAGAACAGAAAAAGAACAGAGTGTCGGGAGGGGCGCAAAAAATCAACAAACCCAAGGCCTGTTTCTTGAAAAAGGGACAATGGACAAAGAAAAAAGACTCAACTAAAATCAGAAATGAAAGAGAACATAACTATAAGACTTAACAAGAATAAAGATTATTTAAAAGTACTATGAATACATGTTTTTCAATAAATCATATAACCTAGATGGTATGTACAAATTTCAGAACATCTGACTTATACTACACAACTGACTTAGGAAGAAACAGAAAATGTGAATAGGTCTATAATTACTAAAAAGATTGAATCGATAATCAAAAACCCCCAAACAAAGAAAAATCAAAGACCAGATGGCTTCACTGGAGAATTCTACCAAACATTCAAAGAATATCAAACTCCTCAAACTTTTCCAAAAAACTTAAAGAGGAGGGAACATATCTAAATTAAAACTCTATAGCCACCATAACTCTGGTACCAAAGTCAGACAAACACTGTAAAAGAAAACTACTGCCATTGATGGAATACTAATGCAAAAAAATTTTGAACAATATACTAGCAACCGGAATTATCAGAAAATTAAATATATTAAACACACAAAAAACAAAAAAATACAGTCTCAATTGATGCAGAAAAAGGATTAGACATATTTCAACACCATGTCATGACAAAAACACTCAACAAGCTGAGAAAGGAACTACCTCAACAAAAGGTCACATATAAAAAATCCACAGCAAACATCAGAATTCACTGGTGAAATACTGAAAGCTTTTCCTCCAAGATCAGGTTCAAGACAAGGATGCATGCTTTCAACAAATCTAGTCAACACAGTATCTAAGTCCTAGCCATGAAAATTAAGCAAGAAAAGAAATGAGGCATCTAAATTGGTAAAACAGGAAAACTGGCTCTAAATGCAGACATTTCACATTATAAGAATTCTATAGTTTTTGTTATTGTGTGTTCTTGTGTGTGTATTAAAGCTTTGTTCTGCCTTTGTTTCTATTGCTGGTAAGTTTTTTCTATGTGTTTATAGATTAATTCAAATGAATATAAGCAAACAGGCTCTGAGACATACAAAAGCCATTAAAGTGATGTTGAAGCCACTGAGACATTAGAATGAACGTAAGGAAAAGAGCCTTCTACATAACTTGATCTGCTAGTTAAGTGCTTTTAGCTGTTTTTCTTAGCTATGTAGATGTATAATTTTCTGCTGCTAAATATACAGAGATGTGCAAACTACAGTTGATGCTCATTATTTATAGTAATTATATTCTCTAAACTGATGTAGCAAAACAATGAATCACTACTACAAGAAACAATATACGGTTAGTTTCCAATGATTATGCTCATCAACTAATCAATATACAATTAGCTGTGTTTAGGTATGAATTATAGTGCTGTTGGCTATGAGTTCAATGTTACTGCATCTATAATACATAGTAAATACTATGTCTTTAAATAGAAACCCATAAAGCAAAGTTATATACAGATCATTATGTTAAAGGGAGATTCATGTCACTTAAGATTTGTGAAAAACACAATAATTTTAGTATTTAACTTGAAAATAACAAACTAACATACTTTTGGTGATCGAGGATCCAAAGAACGAGCAAATAGTTCATCTTCAGGCAACTGAGCACTTGTTGAAACTGATTCACATGGGCGTGTCCCATTGTATATATGGAATTTGCAATGAGGATTTAAGGCCATTGCAAGAAGTTCTAGAAGTGGAAACCAGTCTTGGGACAACTTGGCCACACAAAGCTCCACTAGGCGATGAGTATTGTTAATAATACACCTCTATTATAAGAGGAATAGGAGAGAGAGATGAGGACAGAAAGTTGATTAGAAAGAGAAAAAATAATTTCTAATACAAACATCCTATTCTTGATAATAAAGTCTTTTCATTTTTCTATACTCGTCATCTGAATTCTGCTTAATTTCATAAATACTGTGATCAAACTGACATATCATTAAAAATAAATTAGTATTTCACTGTACTTAACTTCAAAAGTTTTTAAGGGTTACAAATGAAGTACCCTAGGTTGTCTATTTCTGCTCTATGTCCAGATACAAGTGAATCACTATTTTCTTTCTTTTAAATTTGTAATTTAAAGGTAATAATTCCAAAAATCTAAACATCTGAAATCATGCCAATTACCGAGGATGGGAAATGTAATATAAGCCTAATCTAAAAGTCATAGGTTGTTTCCAAAGTTGTGTACTTCTACAGCTAAATGCCATTTCCATCAGAAAATATTAGGACTTATACATATATATATACCACAGTCATTTGCGGGAAATGTCCAACTGATATTTTCTAGGCTGAAGTTCACAATAAGTATATGTTTGTGTCATACCTTTTGGTTAATTCCATTTTATAAATAAGGACCAGAAGTTTGGAATATTCAAAGATTCTCATAAGACACAACTGTTTTTTACTTTCAGAATTTCTGGAATATGAAGGCATCTTAGAAACAACGGTTGTTTACATTGTTTTTGTCCTAGACTGAAGGTATTTCCTGACAGTAGTAGCTATTTCGTGCTGCCAGACACTTGAAGACACTACCAATCTGAGAACACTTTAACTTGTTTGACATTTTTGTTATCAAAACTGCAGTTTTAATTCATATCACAAACTGTGGGAGTGCTGATTCCTAATTCAAAAAATGTTTCTTCTCTAACAGCTGACAAGGTTAGAGCTTTCGCGTTTCCTTGCATGTTATTCCTACAGTGTGAGTTTATTTATCATCTACATTTGCACTGAAATTACACCTTTTGGTGTCCCAGCTACAGTGGGAGTCCTCTATTATATTCCCTATCTTGGATATTTTTCTTTCTTAATGGCATGTAGTATAGTGGACTCATAATAAACAACACATCTTGTATAAGGTCACAGGCACTTGGGATTGCAAGTGAAAGATTAAACCAATGTTTTATAACTCAAAACACTATTCTAAAAAACTATTCTAAAAAACCTTCAATAGTGTCAACTACTATCAGCAGACTTGATGTGTTATTCACATAATGCTGGGCAGAGAAAAACCCACAGAGATAACCATGTCAATTTGAGTCTTCAAAATAAATTACAAGACTCACATGAATTTCAAACTTCCAGCCACTCACTGCCTCATCCATAAGAATTTTAGTGAAGGATATTGTTAACCCATCTCGATAAAAACGCTGACATGCTTCACTTTTAACATCAAGACCTAAGAAAAAATGAAAAGATTAAAGAAAATATTTCTCTGGTCAATTAAATTATATCATTAAAGACAACAAATTGTTATAAACTATTATAGTTTCTGACTCAAATAATATTGAAACTTTTTGAAACAAGATATGACATTATAAGGTTAAAAAGTAACTTATTTACACTGCAAACATGAGGAATTCAGTAAAAAGAAATGCTATAGTTAATGATTTTTGGAAATACTATTGTATAAACTGCATCAAACCAATAATAATATGCTTTGAAATGATATTGGACTTTAAAAGACAGATTACTGAGTATACAGGAAATCAAACCATTTCACAGTATTTTATTTACTGAAAAGTTTAAAACTTCAAAAAAGTAACTTTTAAAATTTCATTTGGTTGTAAATCATCCATTTCTTGCCAAATTTAAAAGACAGAATGCTCTTTTCTTCCTAATAAATTACTCCTTTCACTTATTGGCATCTAAGCATTTTACTTCTTTTAAATTCCATATGATCTAACAAAATCAATTGTCTCCTGTGCCTTCATCCAAAAAGAAAACATTAACTATTCATAAAAACTCAAGATGTGTTAAATTTGCACAATGCAGTAAACAGTAAATCTGGTTTTTGATTATATACTTAGTAGTATATCATTTAAACCCAGAACCTTCCTTAAAAAAATTTAAAACTGCCTCAGGGTAACCATGCCCTTTTCCCGCCCAACCACCCCCACCGCCAAATGAATGAGAAAAGCCCCTGCAAATGATATACATCCACTGGATGGCAATGCTATTAAATAAAGTAGCATTTTCAATTTTTGTTCATCTTCTACCAGGAGGACTAGAACATGCCTAGTACATAATTTCTTCAATTAATGAATAAATGCACAAACAAAAAGAATTCTGATTATTAAAAAATATTTGTTATTGGTAAAATACTTTCATAATCATTAGATTGTTAGTAAGATTAAAAATAAAATACAACAAAATATTCTTTAAGTGACAGTAGGATAACTGTTATTTAAATGAAATTATCCTTGCCAGTCAGACAGACTTAGCAACAGGCAGAATTCACAAAACACGAAAGATGTGAAAACACTACCTAATGACATGAACACTTAAATAAATCTTGAAATACTGCATTTCAAATTCTTATTGAATGATCCTGAAAATAAAATGCTATTTACACTTTAGTTTAGCTTTTAAGGCCTTGACAAGATAGAGAATGTTATTACATAAATTAGTCATTTATGAAGAATTCTGTTAATGTTAGAACAAATTCATTGAAAACAATCAATTCCAATATAAAACTTTTACTTCTGGCCAACAATGAAAACACCAGATTTTCTTTTATGGATCTTTTAAAAAAGAGAAAAATGACATAATTTTTCAAGACATTTCTCTTTTCCAGAGAAAACCTGTGTCTTAAAATGTCAAACATGCAATCCTGACAGTTTGTCATGAAAACATTATTAGTGAAATGGCAATTTTCATTAAAAAAAAAAAAAAAAATAGAGCTTCTGTTAGCATATCCTTTGATTCACTGGCTTTTCAGTAAATTGTTCAAATGGCAAGTATGAATAATTTTTACTGAAGTTATTTAAAAATTAATGTATTGCTCAATTATAAATGACTTAAATGCAAAAAAGTAAACATATATCTGACATCATATTGCCACACAGTATTGTGAAGTATGCTTTAATGTATACTATTTTAATAACAGATTATTTTAAATTTGACTCTCGAAATTATCTTTTGAATAACACCTTTAAAATATTATAAAACAACAGATCCAGGCCTTAGAAATATGAATATCATATAAAATTCTGCATAAAATTTTAAAGAATTCAGATGTCTTTAAAGATTTCTCTAACGTTTCTATGAACTTTTACTCTAGGTATACATAAGCCCTACCAGAAAATTTAGTGATACAGTGTATGCTAAGAAGATTTAACAATTTCATAATGGAGAAAAAGAGCAAAGCCAACAAGAACAATGGGGAAGTATACATAGTGGCATACATTATCGTAAACGGAATAACATATAAACTCACCTTTTTTACTAAGATCAATAGCAGCTTCTAAAAGCACTTCTAATTCCCCTTTTGGCAAAACTGGAACTACCCAACGAGGTCTAAAAATAATTATGAAATAAAAAGACGATACACTGAGTACAAATCAAATGTTATAAATTACCTGCTATGATTACTTTAACAATGAAAATGAAAAAAACCTTGACTACGTTATAAATTCACCATTAAACTGAACAAAAGAAGTTGACAATCTTTTCCTTTTGATCTTCACAAAGGCAGAAGAAACAAATATCTGATTTCCAATTCAATTCGCATCAACGGGACATTTGTCATTTTTTTCCTGAAGATTACAAGAGTCTCCAACTCTTTATACCACTGTAAGTGTACTGTTATATCAAAAACTGATACAGAGGCTACCATATCCAGCTAGTATTTCCCCCAATATCTTAAAAGCTCAATCATGTAGGAATATTCTCTACTGACCCACTACTTCCTAGAAAGAACTTTCTATCATCTGCCCCTTAACCCTTTTCAAAGAGACAGCTTTCCAAATTCTCCTATTTTGATAAAAGATACCTATACAAATAATCTGTTAGATGTAAACGGACACTTTTTTATTTTTAGTTCCACAAAAAGCAGCTTTTTAAATTTCCTCTGCCACTAAGGATTTATAATGATTTAGATCTCCAGTTCTAATTAGAAGTGCACTGTAATAAAAATCAACTACCGTAAAAATTAGATAAGCAATACAATCTCTTGCACTGTTTCTATTACAACAATATAGACATCTTAGAGAAAAAAAAAAAAAAGTCACCTAACACCTCTAGTAATCGATATACCAGGGAGAAATAAACTTTACAAATGCTCAAAAGGAAATCGGTACCCATACTTCCAGGCTAGAAACATACCAGCTAGGATCATATAGCATCGTTAAGTTGAAGTCTTTATTCATAGCACCATTACCTTTCAACTTTAAAAAAATCTATACAAATGTCTACCTTAAGAACAATGAGTTATAAAGAATTTGGCAATGACTAAAATGTTAAGGCTATTAAGAAACCGTTAAAACTATTGTCCACTATATTTCTCATTTACTACCAGATGTAATACTGACAAAGTTGTTTGTTTTTTCAGTTTATCGCCTCCATGAAAAAAAATCTAAACAAATTCACCTATTGATCATGTCATCCAACTTTGCCAAGTCAGTATGCGGAAATACAGGTTCTTCAATTTCATGCAGTGGTGGGGCATCACCTTGACCTTGTTCATCTGGAGGAGTTGCTGGGGAATTCTCATTGGAGGAATCAGGTGATGAGGTCTTAAAAATTAATATGAAAGACTTAAATTTTTATTATACATGTACATGTAGCAATTCAGATATACTAACAAAGATTAAATGAAAATATTACATGTTTTTAAATGTCCATGTATATCTACATTTAATAAAATTGGGATCATTCTGCTTATCTTTTCTTTCATCATCCTGAGCTTTTTTCTGCATGATTAAGAATATTTTAAAATTAATTAATGGCTACATAATACTAAATGAATTAACCTGGTTAAAATTAGAGAATAGTTTTTATAATGTTTACAGTAAATAAAACAGTTGTATTCAACCATCTTAATTATAAGTTTTTATGCAAAAAGTAGGAAAATGACAGTGTAACCTCTGAGGATATGCCATAAAAGTCATTTCTTCTTTTTCCTTACAGCAATCTTTCTGAGAAAAGTTCAGTGCCATATCTTGAAGACACTTACACAACCCTATGAAGAGGCTCATGTGGTGAGGAACTGAATCCTTCAGCCATAAGCCATGTCTCTGAGCCATTGCAGAAGTGAATTCCCCAACCTCAATCAAGTCATCATAACTACAGCTAATATGGCAACCACAATTACAAAAGAGATACTGAGTGAGAACCATTCAACTAAGCCATTCCCAAATTTTTAATGTGTGGCATTAAAATAATGGATATTTTGTTGTTTACATTACAACAACAAAAAATATCTTGAAGCATTAAGTATAAGCATTTTAAAATGTGTAACTAAACAGTATAATGAGAAAAAGAAAAAAAGAAACTGAATATTTTGAGGGCGAAAGATAAAACAAAAAGCAAGAGGATACACAAAATCCAAAATATATCAGTATTTGAATTTAAAAAAGGATTAAAAATACCAGTAAAAGACAAAAACACAAAACATGGTCATTGACTACATAAAATATTCTTAAATATAAGAATACAAAAAAGAAAAAAGTAAAATAATAAAAGAGACTTTTGGTTTTCAGTGCAGCATGTAAGGAGTTTGGAAGTTATCATTCCTTCCTAACAAGTAAAAGGCTGAATTAGCTGAAAATCAACTCTTCTCAGATTTGATCTGCCACAGGGCAAATTACTGCCCACAAAATCAGAAGACAGGAGAACACAGAATCAAAAACTACCAGAGTGGAAACAGTATTGAGAAAAGAAAATATTATAGATTAATTGCTGGAAGCTGGGTATGGAAAGTCTAAAAGTTAAAAACTCTAGGTGATCTATCCTTAAGGAACTCACAGAACTATTTCCATAAATCCTATTAAGTTCTCACAGTGAAGATCAAAGAAAAATCCACTTTGTTTCCATGGGGAGGTAATGCAAGCAGCAATTCTGAAATACTCCAGAGCATTCTGTTCTTAATTGAGACTATTCTGAAGCTGTATTAACAGAGCCGTTTTACTAGGTTTTTATCAGAGCCCAATCAAACTAAGAGAAAGGAAATACCAAATTCTAGCCTGCGACAGCCTTTCATGTGGGGGCAATAGAAATACCCAAGTCCTGCTATTTCTAGTCATCCTGTCTCTCTTCATCAACACAATACTAAAAGTATACTTACAGCAGTTTCTTTACCCAGTACATAAAAAACAAGTATCAACAAAAAATTACAAGGCATACCAAAAGATAATGAACACAGTTTAAAGGGACAGAGCGAGGATCAAATTCAGTTATGGAAATATGTTGGAATTATCAAACTAAGAATTTAAAATAACTACAATAAATATGCTAAGGATTCTTAAAAAAAAAGTACAGACAATAAACAAATGGGTAATTCTAAGGAAAAAAATGCCAGAGATGAAAAACACTTTAACAGTAAGGAAAAATGTCTTTGATGGGCTATTAGTAGGCTTAACACAGCTGAAGAAAGAAACATATCAAGCGAAACTTCCAACACTGAAAAGCAAAGAGAAACAAGATTAAAAACAAAAACAAAACACATCAACTCCCGCCAAAATCCAGGGGTCCGCAACTGTTAGACAACTGCAAAAGGTGTAACATGCATGAGAATACCACAATGCAAAGAAAAAAAGGAAGAAACAAGAAATATTTAAAACGATGAGTGAGAATTTCCCCTAAATTAATGTCAGACATCAAAGCACAGAAACCAGGAAGCTCAGAGAGAGAACACTGAGCAGGATAAATGCCAGAAAATAAATGGTAATGGAAAAATCTTGAAAGAAGCCACAAGAAAGATACCTCATCTACAGAGGAGCAAGGATAAGAGTTACTTCGGACTGTTTTTTTTTTTTACACCTACAGCACCTGGTCTTCCTAGGTGGTCTCCCATCCAAGTACTAACCAGGCCCAACTCTGCTGAGCTTCCAAGATCAGATGGGATCGGGTGTGTTTAGGGTAGCATGGCTGTAGAGTACTTTTGGAAAGAAGGGAGTGGGGAGAGGGGAGGGAGGGAAAATGGGGGTGATGTTTAAAGAGAGAAAACCACAAATAAAGAATTCTCAGTTCTCCATCCTTCAAAATTACTCTTCACAGTGAAAGAGAAATGTCTCAGACAAAAATTTAGGGAATTAACTGCAAGTAGATCTACCTTTCAAAAAATGTTAAGTCTTCAGAGAGAAGGAAAGTGATGTAGGTCTGAAACTCAGATCTATATAAAGAAAGAAAAGCATTAGAGGAGGAAGTGAAGGTAAAATACTTTTATATTTCTTATTCTAAACTGAACTAGCAAAATAGTTTGGTCAAAATAAAGAACAATATATTCTATGATTAAAGCAATAATATAAAGACCAGCGGGAGGAGATACGGATAATTTGTTATTATAAAGAACTTTACCCATGGAGCTCTAAAGTGTGATTTGAAAATGGATGTACCAATTACTTGTAAATGTATATATTGCAAACTCTAAGGCAACCACTATAAAAGTATAAAAAGAAAAATAAAAAGCATAAGGAGAGAAAGGGGAATCATATAAAATTCTCAAATTAAACTACAAAAAGCAGAAACAAAGTGGAAGACAAAAACAGGTACTAAGGAAAAGGGCAGTAAGAACAGGAAAGATATTAATCCAACTATACCAATAATCATTTTAAACATCAATGGTTTAAAATATACCAATTAAGGCTGAGTGAATCAAAAAGCAAAATTCAACTTTATGTTGCAGATGCTTAAAAGTTTGTTTAGAAATTTAAATATAAACAGAAATCTAGGTTAAAATTCAAGGGCTAGAGGAAGATACTCAAACAAACCCATACTGATAGTTATCTTTGACAAAGCAGCAAAGACAATACAATGGGGGAAAAATAGTCTTTCAACAAATGGTGCTATAAAAACTGGAAATTTACATGCAAAAAATGCATATAGAAACTATACCACACACCCTTCACAAAAATTAACTCAAAATGGATAGAAACCTAGATGTAAAACACAAAACTAGAAACCTCCCAGAAGACAACACAGGAGAAAATCTAGATGACCCTGGATCTGATGATTATTTTAAATATACCGTCAAAGGCATGATCCATTAAAAAAAAGAATTCATAAGCTGAAATTAGCAATTTCTGCTTCATAAACGACAGGAGAAAACATTTGCAAAGTTAAGGACTGTTATCTAAAATATGGAAAGAACTCTTAGAACTCAACAAAAAGAAAAACTGACTGAAAAATGGGCAAAACAGCTGTACTGACACCTCACGAATGAGGATATAAAGATGGCAAATAAGTGTATAAAAAAATAAGTAACATTATATGCCATTAGGGAACTGCAAATTAAAACAAATCAATGAGATATCACTACACACCTGTTAGAATCGTCTAAATCCAAATCCCTGACAAACCAAATGCTGACAAAGATATGGCACAACAGGAACACTGACACATTGCTAGTGGGGATCTAAAAAAGTACGGCCACTTTGGAAGATAGTTTGGCAATTTCTTACAAAACTAAACATACTCTTTACCTTATGATCCAACAATCACAAGCCTTCGTGTTTATCCAAATGAACCGAAAACTTACGTCCACACAAAAACCTGAGTGGGTGTTTATAGCAACTGTATCTATAATTACCAAAATTTGGAAGCATCCAAGGTATCCTTCAGGAGGCAAACAAAGAAACAAGGTATGGTACATCCAAAGCATAAAATCTTATTCCGAAATTAAAAAAAAAAAAGAAAAAAAAAAGCTATCAGGCCACGCAGAAATATAGAAAGGCTTTAACGTATATTACCAAGTGAAAGAAGACAATATATAACTACATGACATTCTGGACAAAACAAAACTATAAAGGCAGGTAACAGACCAATAGCTGCCAGGGACATGGAGAGAGAGGAAGGAATGGGTAGAGCAGATATCAAGGCACTAAAACTATTCTATAATGCTTTAATAGTGTATCTATGCCATTAGATGCTGTGAAAACCTATAGAATATATAAAAGACTAAGTGAATTAATGTAAACTATGGAGTTTGATAATAATATGCCAATGTATTTGATTTTTCACAAACATACCAGTTGGTAGGGGAGGCTAAGTGTGTAGGGGCAGGAGAGAGATGGGAACACTGTACTTTCTGAACAATTCTGCTGTGAAATCTTAAAAGCCTATTAAAAGTAGAAAAAGTATGAGAATAATTTAAAATGGCAAAGTTCAGGGTAATTATTAAAAGACAACATTAAAAGTAGTAAGTGTTTTAAAAATACAGGATAAGAAAAAACTTCCCTAATAAACAACCACCCTCCTCCTTCCCCCAAAATGTGGTACAGTTATACAAATATGTGAGGGCAAATTTTAAGGTAGGAAGAATTGCTGGACATTAAAGAGATCTCTACATAAAGGTTAACGGATCAATCAGTAAAACCAAACCAAACCAAATCAAATATTATTTTCTGTTTGTATGCATCTTATAGGTTCAAACTAAATCTAGCTAAAATCGATAGAACAGTGAAATGGTCAAGTCCGCAATCCCAAGTAGAGATGAATTAGTAATAAAACCATATTTAAAAGAAAATAAAACAAAACAAGCCTATATAGAACATCCGAAAAGTATAATAAGTAAACTAAAAATAACTGAAATGTATGACTGCTACACATTATAGCATATAATTTTTTCAAATACTCATGGAATGGAAATTGAAAATATGCTAGGCAAACACCATGCCTCAATAAATTCCCAAGCAAAGACACACTGAAAATGTATGTTTTATCCAGAGGAAATAAGCTAAAAACTAGTAACAGTAAGTTAACAAGAAAACCTTCAACTGCTTGAAAATTAGAATCGATGCACAAACTAAAACGTTAATTGACTCACAGCAGACAGAAACACATCAAAAGTCATGGAAAGTAGTTTGGCAGAACTTACATTATTCCAAAATGAATGTTTTAGAAAATATAAAAACTGAAAGAAAAAGTTGAAAAATCAATTATCCAAATCGTATCAAAAACCTAAAAAATAAACAGCAAACCAAATCCAAAGAAATGAAGGGGAATGAACTAATAAAAGATTTAAAAAATAACTTTTTTTTTCACTTACCCTCACTTTAAAGATCCAGAAACTGAGGCCTAGATATTCTATTACTTAGCCAGTCATACATTTAGTGGGGTACAAAAAAGACTTGAATATAAACCACTGACTTAATCCATACTTACAACTAAAGGTTAAATAACTGCTTTAATGCTATGGCCCCCTCAAATTCACATAGGGCCTTCCACACAAAAACAAGAGGTATATTCTCAAGTATGTACAGGTTTCCTGTTGCTAATATTAAGCTTCAGTAACTTTTAAGTGAGACATAAAATGACAACAGCTTTTATGATTACCTTACAAATTATTCAGGACATTATTCAGTATTCTTAAGCACCCCAAACAACAAAACCTTAATATCCTACCTGATTCTGTTGGAATGGGGGTTGAGACTGTCCATCAGGAGTCTGGCCCTGGCTGTCATTCCCTCCTACTGGAGAGCCACGAGTTGTGGCTGTCATACTCAACAGAGAACAGATCTTTGCTATTTTGTCTGTTTATGCAGCTGTTGTAAGAGAAGAAATTATAGTCCACTTAAAGGAGATGAAATACCAGCATATGTCAGCCTTAAAAATCTCCAATTCAAGGACAGACCATCTTGCACAGACCATTTCATAACCTAAAAGTAGAAGGAAAAAGGTATAATTTGTTTAATATTAAAATCATACTAATTTTAATGTGTATGGTAACATCATCAGAGTCCTTAACTATCAATAATAGATGGCTATAAAAATGAGACAGTATAAAAGTAAATTTTTATCAATACTGTTACTCAACAAATTCATATTATTATACCAGTAATTATAAGGAAACATAAAAAGTACAGTCTTAATGTTACATATAATATTCCAGGAAAAATGCGAAGTTCTTAGTGTCATTTCTGACTTATAAAAGAATGCCTGTTTGTTGCTGCCATATACACACTGTGAAAATACAAATACTTGAAAGATGTAGAATTCTTTCATAAATAAAATGAAAAACAAAGTTAAGAGATAATTCCATAATGGTGGGATTAAAAAGTAGATTAAAACAAACCTTAAGTATACAAGCATATACATACAGCCTGTCCATGTAGTCATCCTAAGATCAAACAGTCTTGCATTTTTTGTTTGTGTATATAAACCTCACTTAGAGAGCAATACAAGAAGTAAATTTTTAAAACTTAGAGAAACTCCCTATCTTTCTGTTTCTAACAAAAAATATCAAACCTTTTCATACAACTCAAAAAAATCAATTGCCAATTTCAAAATTTCATTCTTTACTACTTCGAATTTATTGTTTTTTTCCTTTTGTCCTTTTCTCAGTTCCTGATGATACCATACACGCCCTATCTCTGAAAAAAACCTTGTTCTTCATTTTCTCAATTTCTTTCTAGAAATTTTAGTTAGCCTATTAAGTATGCTTAAATTTTCCCTACTGAAAGCCATTAATATCTGTTCTCCAAAAACTTCTTGAATATCTATGTTGTTCCTTTTTTTCATCATTTGGTGTGAGTTCAAAATTGCTTTCATCAAGATGGTCTTGTGGGAATTACAGGGATGGCTTTGAAAACAAACCAATTCGTCTACAACTACAAAGCTTTCTACATAGGTATATTTTTTTGGAAGACAACAGAGATGACTTCTGGTCCAGGATTAAGACCCTAACTCTTCACAGGTTATACACAGATTTTGTGTTATATGAAGATTTTATGAATTTAACCTAAAAGCAAAAATATATGAATGGGACTACATCAAACTAAAAATCTTTTGCTCAGCAAAAGAAATCATAATAGCTACACCATTTTACATACCCACCAACAGTAAACAAGGGTTCTAATTTTTTCTTTTCCTTTAAGTGCCAGTTTATTATTTTTTTCATACTATATATACATAATTTTTTTAACATTTTATTTTTTTATTTTCCCCCTCCCATCTCCCTTCAGTAACCACTAGTCCATTGTCCATGTCCATGAGTCTCTTTTTGTTTGTCCTGTTCATTTGTTCTTTTAGGTTTATATTCCACATATGTGATATCATGTGATTTTCAACCTTTTCTGTCTTTTTTATTTCACTTAGTATAATTATTTCAGGTTCCATCCATGTTATTGCAAATGACAGTGTTTAATCTCTTCTTATGGCTGAGTAATATCCCATTGTATGTATGTACCACACCTTCTTTAGCAAATCATCTATCATAGGACACTTTGATTGCTTCCATGTCCTGGCCACTTTGACTAATGCTGCTGTTAACATCAATGTGCAAAAATATGTTTTTGGATACTGCCACATAGCTAAATGCAAATTTTTAAGAAGTATAGTTTACACAGAATAATACACAAATAATGGTTTCTCAAGACAGTTATAAAACTGGCTGCTAATAACAAACAATTATCTGCCTAATAACTGAACTTCCAAGGTTCTGCCCCCCCATAAGAAAATAAAATGTGAGAATCATATTTTCAGGAGAATAAATCTCATTCTGGCTGTCAAGCAGTATTTTTTTGCCTTCTTCACATTCCTTTAAAGTTTGTTCCCCTCTCCCCAACCCCCATCTATTTCCAGGGTCTTTGCACAAGCAGTTTGTCTGGTTAATTCATACCCATTCTTTTAACTCTCAACTCAGATGTGGCCTTTTTGAAAAGATCTCCTTGACTAAACCTCATCAAGTCCCCCTAGAATTGGCACTCAGAGCCCCTTGCACTTTCCTTTTTGGCATTTATGTAATTCTCTCTCAACATGGTAAAACATGAACTCCACAATGATAGTGACCTTACGGTTTTGCTCATCAGTGAAACCTAAGAAATCTCAAAAATATGTTAAGTGCTCTACCAATCTAGCAACCACTAGTAAATTATTTAAGTAAATTTGAGTAAACAAACCAAAAAATTAAGGACTACCAATCTCCACACATGCTTTGCAACTGTTTTCATAAACTGATGTTAAGATATTCTTCACCCTAAATCCAGAGGCTTAATTTCAAATATTCAATCAAAAACTACCTCCAATCACTTTCACGCATAGGTCTTTTCTCCAGATGTAGAAACACGGTGATTTCTAGGCCCCAGAATACCAGACTGATAGCCTTATTTCCCTTATTGACAAACTTTCACACATTGCTAGTACAAATGTAAAACATCAGTCCACCACTTTGGCAGTTTCTTACAAAGCTAAAAGTAGATTAACCATACAATCCATTAATCACATTTCTACACATCTACCCAAATAAAAACTTAGGTCCACATAAAAACCTGTACACAAATGTTAGCAACTTTATCAATATTTGCCCAAAATTGGAAGCAACCAAGATGTTCAAAGAGGTTAAAAAAAACTCTGGTAATTTCATACAATGGAATAATATTCAGCAATAAAAAGAAATGAACAATCAAGCAACAAAAAAGACATGAAGAAATCTTAAATTCATACTGCTACGTAAAAAAATCCAGTCTGTAAAGGCTACATATTACATGACTATGACTAAATGACTTTATAGAAAAGGCAATACACTTATAGAGACAGTAAAAAGATCTATGGTTATTAAGTGTTCCAGGAACGCGGAAGAGATGACCGGTGGAACATACGATATTTTAGAGACTTGAAACTATCCTGTATACTATACTGATGAATATATGAAATTATGCATTTGTCATCAACCGTATAACTGTACTAAACACTGAGCCCTAACTTAAACTATGAACTTCAGTTAAACTAAATATCAAATGGGTTAATCAACTGTATTATAACGATGCAAGATATGAATAGAGGAAATGGTAAGGGCAGATACAAAACCTCTATTTTCTGTGTAATACTTCTGCAACCCTAAAACTGGTCTTTAAAAAAGTTTATTAAAAATGTAAAATAATTTTTCACTTGGAAAATAGTTATTTCATAAAAATACTTGTTAACATAACTGGTTTAGTACTTTTTTCATATGAAATAGTAAATAACTTTAAATCTATAACTTTTAATTTACAATATGGTAAATACCAAAAGAAAACACACAAACTAAACTTCATGAGATTCTCAAAACTTTTTATAGTGTAAAGAGGACCTGAAATCAAAAAGTTTGAGAACTGTTAGTCTCTTAAATACAGCATAGGTAACAATCTCCTTTCACTAATTATCTTATTGTAATAAAAAACAAAGAATATAAAATTTTATCTGAAACCATTTATATCAAACTTTAATCACTGCAGATCCTTATTCTCCTTTTGAGAAAATACAAAGATCACTCTTATCATTTCCTCTATTAGGCTGCTAATATTTTTTAGCAGCATTAACATTCTTCAGAACCATCAGCTAAGACACTCCTAGATTCCCAACATTAGAAACTAATAGATAATGTTAGTACTTTTAAGTTGCCAAGTTTTGTCATATTTTGTCATGTCCAATCTCTTAGCTTACTATTCCACTCAATGATAGAAAAGGTAGTCTCATTAACAGCCCCTGTGTTATGCCATAGCCAACTCATGGATGTCAATGCTTAATTTCATACCTCAAAACATTTCTCTAAACATTTTACCCAAACTGCTAAAAAAGAAAGTTTCAATTCTTTGGCTACCAGATTCACCTCTAACTTATCTTTTAAATAGCCACAGAATTTATCTCCTAATGTCTCTACAAATCAAAAACAAAAATAAAAACAGAAACAAAAAACACTAACAACAACAAAACAGATTTCTTTCCATGAAGGCAGAAAGTCTCATTTCATTGTTTAAAAATCAGCGTAAATGGCATTTGAAATCCTTTATAATCCAATCTCACTCAAATTAGCTTTTTGGTCTCAGCCTATAATTCTTTCCTCTCAATTATTCAGTGCTCCTTCTACATTCTATTAGTAGTCTTTAAATATAGCACAGACTTCCATTCCTCAATTTCAAATGTTCCCTACCCTGGAAGTCCCTGACCTAATTCACGAAGCCACCCAAATCCTACAACTTTAAAGATCAGCAAACAGTATACAAACTCAAATTGGAATGATTATCTTCACCTCTTTTAAGTATTTACTCTATTTTTCACATCTCTATTTTATACAAAACATAATTAAACATTAAGTTCTTGTCTGCCCATCAGACCTGGAGTCTTAAAGAGATGTTTAGCTATTCATCCCCCAGTTGATGACCACGAATGAATGAATGAATAAATGAATACAATTCAAGAATTACAGTAAGATAAGAGCAATTGCTTTGTCCAATTCTCTCATTTTACAATTGTAATGAGGTCAAATAACTTGCTTACTAATTCAAGAGCTAGATAGTAACCCAAGTCTCTTAACTGACATCATATTTTATTAACCACTGAACTCCCTCAACCAGTCATTACGCTCATCACACAAAAAAAGAAAGCTTCACCTCACAAATGAATTTCACTTAAGAGACATCCCACAAAAATCTTTAAATACCATGTATAATAGCACCGTTTCACTATATTCTGTAAGAATTAGCAAACTGACACCTAGTAATAACGTAATGTAATAAATATGAATGTAAAATTCTGATTCTGTAATCTTTGTATTCTTTGTAAATCACTGCACATGTGTTGATAAACAAAATTCAATTATTCAGTAATACCTACTAATAAGCAAGAGACTAAGCTAATAGACATGAACTTAATTCTAGGAGACAAACAGAAACAGAAAATG